TACACAGGAGGAAGATTAAATCAATGTCTGGCTGCTGAATTTCAGCCTTGACCCCCAGACTCCACCATAGATCTTGAAGGAGATACCCTAAAACAGCAGCCCCCAAAATTAGCCATTGCTTCTGCAACACTGAAAAGCAAACAAGGCAAGTGAGTCTTCAGATTCCTGTAGGGTGGACAGAAAACACCTCTAGATAAGGTGCCTGGCCTAGTTTTAAACTAATAAGCAGCTTTGAACTTGTAAAAAAAAATTTATGACTTAATTTGTTGAAGTATTGTTCGCTGAGTGCTGCACTAGGAGCATAAAAGAGCAAATGATTCACAGATTAATATTTTACTGGGAGGGATAAGAACAGGAGTTCCTGCTGAAAAAGAACATCCAACCAAGACTTTGGGTCTAAAGGTGATCAAATCCATGTCATAGGAAACGCAACCAGGAGACAAGGGGAGGAGGAACCAGGACTGCTATTCAAATAAACACTGAGCAGATGCACACACGTGCAAAGGACGAGTAGTGATGAGTCAAGAAAGTAGGAGGAGAGAGAGGAAAGTCTTCTCCTGCCTGGGTCACCCTCCAAAACTCTCCTGCTCCTCATGACCTGTACATTTAGTATTTATTATACAGCGACACAACAAGACTCAGCAACTGCAGACAACATGAATAAAACAGCACTGGGAGGAGAGGCAGGAGCTGCAGAAACGTGGAAGGGAACTGCAGAGGTCTCATGCACAAATTTCAACTAATTACTTGAGACAGCTCAGGGAAGTCGACTCCTGACTGTGGAAGGAGAATTATTACTTGCAAACAATTTGTATGTCTGAGGACAACAAAACATACTGTGTTTGAGATTCCTTAAAGCTTTCCCCAGCCACCTCCACCAGAAACACAGATAAGCGGAGCCTCCAAGGCGGAGCTGCATCCAGGCCTGGGCTGGGACTGGTTTTACCCAGTCCCAGAGGTAGAACCAGCTGCACTCCCACTGCCAGTGGGGACCTGTTCATGCCTGAGCTCTGGTTTCCCCACCTGGAAAGAGCTGGATTTTGCAAGCCAAGGCACAGGCAGCGTGAACAGCCCAGGCCTGACCTTGGACACGAGCTCCAGGCACTCGTTAGAGGCATTTCTGTTCACAGCTCTGAGTGATATGAAACACAGAGACACACTATTAACAATTAATGCAATCCAGGGGACTGGTTCTGAGACCAAATCAAGTTCAATTTTTGTAACAATACCAAAAAATGAGCTAAAAATTATATACACAGAAAAAAAAGCATCTCACTAGCATAATGAATCAAAGTTGTATTTCCATGTAAAAACACTCAGTAGCAAAATACAAACCAAATTCTGCAAACACCCCCAGTGTCCAGGGAGACTGCAACCAACAGACATAAAATATTTTCTAATTAGTATAATCATTCATACAAACTCCACTGACAGATATTTACAAGCATTTCGCTTCTTGTGGGTAACTGAACATGTGCACTACAGTTTGAAGGAACTCAAGCTTGGTCCTTTAAGCTACTCTCTCCTTAAAAGCTGCCTACAACCTCTGGTTACCTACCAAACACACCTCAAAAGTGTCTGAGGCAACTATTTTGCCTTTATCAATGGTTTGGAGCCTTGTCAGAAAATCAGGCAAACGCCAAATTTGGAAACCAAAGACAAAACTGTTATTTGCAGAACGATAAATAAGGAATACCAGTTCTTCTGGAGCTCTCTACCTGTTGCTCCACTCACCGAGAGGCTCAGCCACCAAGGTCCAGATCCACCCTGGAGCTCACGGTCTCTGAAGTCACCTGCTCTGACATTCAACCAATTCTGAATCCTTTTCCCTCACAGAACAGGAAAACAACCCTGGAACAGCCACCTAAACTAACTCGGACTTTTCACGGTCTGTTCTCCAGCGCACACCAGCCTGGAACCAACCCGGGGCACTCCAATGCCAGCGGCCCCACAATGAGCCCTGGTAGGTTTTATCCCAGAGGGCAGCATCCATGTTGTTCTCCTCCATGGAGTCTCCTGCCTTCCTAATGAGCAGCCAGGCTACTGAAAAACACAAAAACCTGCTGTTCTTTGAAGCACTTAAGCCAGCAGGATACTGGTACGTCTCGATATTTTCCCCTGCACAGATCAGAGCGAGGCAAAGTGGAAAAAGAACATTACAGGCGTTCCTACAAACCAGGCACATTTCATTTTCTATTAGTGCTATTCCCAAGAGACAATTTAGAGCTCTGCAAATATGGCACTGGAAGACTGGAAAGTTGCTTCCTGAGTACCAGTCATTAAATAAAGATATTAGAGGGACTTATATTCTTCTAGACCAAACAAAACCGACAGTCATTTCCCCATCCTACGTATGAGACCTAAGAAAAGCACAATCAGGAATATCATAACTGCTCTGTAATGTATTTCTCCTAAAACTGATTATCATTTAATGATTTCTCTCTCTTAAAAAAAAAAAAAGAAAAACACAACAAATACCAACCACAGAAGCAAAACACTAATTTCTGTATCAAGAGAGGCTATCAGCATTTTATGAAGTAACAAATTAGGCCTTTGGCATTTCCCAGCAGTGATCCAAGATTTGAGGCTTCTTAAAAGCTCCAAGTTTGAAAGCAATCAAATGGCTGACAGCTGGAACAAAATTAGCATGATTAACCAGTTATGTAAATAATGATGTGGTCAGTCCAAGCTGAATCCATTTCTGCTCCCTGCATTACACTGGACATCAGATGTTTGTCAACTCTTCATTAAAAGTGACTGTAGGAATAATGGAGGTGAAAACCAACGTGAACATCACTGGCCAGGCCACCTGACAGCCAGGGATCTCTCCTCTGGTCCTCACAGGACCACCAGAGAATTCACAGATAGGACTTTTTTAGCCTAAATATTACCCAACACTACTTGTCTCCTACCTAGGGAAGGGAGCAATTATTTTTTTCTAAGGAGAGAAGTCCATGAAAAGATGGAGAAAGACGGAGAGAGGCTATTTGCAAGAGCATGGTGTGACAGGACAAGGGGGAATGGCTTCCCACTGCCAGAGGGCAGGGATAGATGGGATATTGGGAAGGAATTGTGAGGGTGGGGAGGCCCTGGCACAGGTTGCCCAGAGAAGCTGTGGCTGCCCCTGGATCCCTGCAAGTGTCCAAGGCCAGGCTGGACAGGGCTTGGAGCAACCTGGGATAACAGAAGGTGTTATCCCATGGCAGGAGGTGGAACTGGATGGGCTTTAACGCCCTTTCAACCCAAACCATTCCATGATTCTATGATCCTGTTGGCAACAGATTTCATTTCCTAAAGGCTGATATTAATTTTCATCCCTCAGTACATATAAAAGTCAAGCTGCCCTGCAGGAGAACCCTCGTGATGTCGCAGAGTTACTTCATGGCAACAAGGAAGTTACAATCAGCACCCCCAAGTCAAACTTCCTCAAATGTAACCCACAATCAATTCAGCCTTATCAGCATCTGCCTCCAGGAATGCACACTCATGGGTCATTTGTGCTTGATAAAGTTTGATAACTTAGTTAAATATTTAATATAGGAGACATTATCTCTGAAATTCGGTCAAGCTAGTTTACCATTACTTGGAGTTTATAAAGGAAAATTTATCAAAAGTTTTGATTCTTCCCAATAAAACACTGTATTTGAGTTTGCTCAAAAATAACATATCTGAGAATCAGCCAAGACAAACATATTTAGAAGCAATTCCTAAATAGGCTACATTTTACTAATAATATCACCACAATATATTTATATTTCTAATCAAAAATCATTCTAACATCCCACATTCTACATCCCAACAATACGATTTCCTATGACCTTGTGTCTCACAAAACACAGAACACACTGGAATTATGCAAGAGTTCTGTATTACCATAAAACATGTATTTCAGTGGACAGAATAATAAAACTTAATCTCATGGCCTGATTTACATTTTGAACTCCTAAAGTCAGGCTCTACAGCCTGTAACATCTGCAACGCCCTCCCAAGCTGAACTACTCTTTAGACCTCCTGTTGAAAATGGATGTGCACGTAGATAATTCAGAGTATTTTCTTAGTAGGTAAGAACAAGAAATATGTCCAATTGCTGTAAATTTTAAATCTCACTTGGCTTTTCAGCTCAGTGACGATACCACACTTGAGAAGGGGGAGGGAGAAGCATTACACACCCATAAAACTGAGACCAAATGCTACCAATGTTAAAGCCCCGTGGCTTGAAATTCTCGTATTTTAATATTTCAGTATTTATATTAAAGCCTTATGGCTTTAAAACAGGGAGCTTCCATAGCGGACAGGCTGTGATAATTACTGTTCAATACATTTCCCAGCAATAATGCTCAATGTAATACAGCTGGCTGACTACCCAACCCCAATCTGTAGCATCACAGGTACTGCAGGTAATTAAAAAAAATATATATATGTAGATAGATAGACAGATACATAAACAGATAGATAGGTAGATAGAGATATATCACAGACCCCTTGTTAAGGCTGGAAGGCACCTCCGGAGACCATCTAGTCCAACCCCGCTATATAAAGCAGACCTTTAAAATGATTAAAAGCACTAATACACACCTTCCAAATGGCGATATTACTCAAAACAGAATAAAATGACCCCCGCCCCGCCGCGATCGAGGCGAACAGCGCCGGGCCGAGGGGTCGGGCAGGGCGGACCGGAGCCCCCCCCCCCCCCCCCCGGGGCCGCCGCCGGGGGCCCCCCCGCCCCCCCGGCCCCCGCCATCATCCCCCGCAGCCCCGGGAGGCCCATCGGGAGCCAGGCCCAAACTTCGGGCCGCGGGGGCCCAGCCCGTCCCCGCCGCCACCCGCCTGCCCACCGGCGACAACAAAGGGCCACCGCGGCCCCGCCGCCCGCCCCGCGGGGACCCCCGGGGGCCCTTCCCGCGCCCACCCCGCGCCCACCGCGCGGAGGGGATGGCGGGGGGGGGCCCCGCCCGTCCCCCCCCACACCCAGCCCCGCACCCCGCGGGGGCCGCGCTGACCTGCGGGCGCGGGGCGGGCGCGGTGTCCCGGTGTCCCGGTGCCCGGCGGCCGCGGGCTGCGCTTGACACCCACACGCACCATCCAACATGGCGGCGGCGGCCGCGGGGAGGCGGCGGAGGAGGCGGAACCGGCGGCCGCGCGCGGCCCCGAGGCGCGGCCGCGCTGAGGGCGGGGGGGGGAGCGCGGCGCTGCCCGTCCCCTCCTTCCCTCACTCGCTCCCTCGCTGCCTCCCCTCCTTCCTTCCCTCTCTCCGACCTCCGCCGGGGCTCCTCGCAGCCAGACCCGGCGCCAGGGAGGAACAAGGGGGGATCGCCCGCCGGGCAGAACCCCCGGGAGAGGGTCCGTGGCCGCCTCCGAGGGAAGAAGGGTTGGGGAGCCCCCTCAGGGCTCCCCGGATTTCAGGGCCGGGGATCCCCTCAAAAAAACAGAATCAAATAATACAAAATAGCGTCTGTCAGTACAAAATAACCACAGTTACGGATCAGGGAACGCTTTAGAGAGGGTCCGTGACTGCCTCTGATGGAAGGAGAAGGCTTGGGAAGCCCCCTCAGGGCTCCCTGGATTTCAGGGCTAGGAATCCCTCAAAAAGTAGGGTCAAGTAATACAAAATAACGTCTATCCGTACAAAATAACCACAGTTATGGATCAGGGAACACTTTAGAGAGCACCCCTGGCTGCCTCTGATGGAAGGAGAAGGCTTGGGGAGACCCCTCTGTGCTCACAGCTCCCAGGGGAAACATTTCCAAGCCAGGGATCCCCCAAAAATCATGGTCCAATGTGGGCTGGCAGCCCCCGAAGCAGAATCGCAGAATCAATTAGGTTAGAAAGGACCTCCAAGACCATCATGTCCAACCTGTGACCAATCACCACCTTGCCAACTAGACCAGAGCACTGAGTGCCACATCTCGTCTTTCCTTAAACGCTTCCAGGTGACTCCCCCACCTCCCTGGGCAGCCCATTCCGATGTTTCATCACCTTTCCTGTGAAGAAATTCCTCCTACTGTCCAACCTGAGCCTGCCCTGGCACAGCTCCCACTGCCTCGCACAGCGCGGTTACTGCACTTTCCCCCTCCTGCCAAAGACAGCAGTACAAAATAACCACATTTATGGATCAAGGGACACTTTATGGACATATCTATGGATCAGGGATGGAGCTCTTGGATTGCCACACTGGGCGATGAAGGGGAGCTTGGTGGGGACACAGAGGCACGAACGCAGCAGGAGGAGCCGGACGGTCTGGGTGGGTCAGAGCACACGTCCTTCCCCTCTGGGGATAATGACTAAACCTGTGTCCGGCATCGCAAGCTGGAGGAGGTTGGTGGACCCATTGTAATGCTGCCTGAATATATTTGTTCCCTTCGTAAAACTGTGAGACAATTCAAGGAAACGGGACATCGCTGCTCGGGAGACGGTCGGGGTTGGCGTGGGTCAGGGGACAAGCTGGCTCTGTTCGGATCACAGCTGGCTCCGGGCAGTGCTACTGGTTATTTAAAACCCAAATTCCTGAGGAATCTTGCCTTACTGAAGCATGACAAAACAATGGAAAGGTGGAGCAAACTCCAGTTTATGAGGTATTGCTTTAAAGCGAAAGGAGGGTCCAGCCGAGCACTGCAAACTTTGTTGAATCCCAGAATGGTTTAGATTGGAAGAGACCTTAAAGACTCTCTCATTCCAACCCCCTGACATGGGCAGAGACACCTTCCAGTAGACCAGGTTGCTCGAAGCCCCATCCAACCTGGCCTTGAACACTTCCAGGGTTGGAGCATCCACCAGCTCAGCCCTTTTCCCCATGGAGTCGGTATCAAATCTGCCACAGATTTGAGGTTTAAATACAGAAGAGCAGGGACTGCAGTGAAACACGGAGTGAGCTGCAGTAAAAGCAACTTGTTAAGAAATGCTGCAAGTTCCGATGCCTTGAACACCATCTGGGAGCTGGGAAGCTCCAAATCTTCTGCAGCAAGCTGCAATGCTGGCTTAGCTCTTAACCTTGAGCTAGGAGAGGTAGGCAGAATTAAATTCTGGGTGAAAAATATAAGGGATCAGCGCACATCTGATGCTATCAGCAGGAGCTGAAAGAATCCTTCCCCCTTTTCTTCTTTAGAAGGAAACGGCAATGATGGAAGCCCAATGTTTCTGTGCACATTCATTAATCCTAATGATCAGGTGCTGACAGCTCTAAAGAAGGATAAGAAAGCTCTTGGTTAAAATAAAATGGGAAGAACAAGATTGTTCCTGCTGCCTTCTCTCCTGCCTGTCTTCCTTCCAGGTCTGGGCAGACAGCTCTCTGGAGCAGGAGGCGGCTTCCTCACCATTCCCAGCTCCATCCCAGGTGTCTTTCTACAGTCGAAGTGTGCAAATCAGCGAACCCAGCAAAAAGCTCCTGCAGCTGGAACATCTCTGACAAAAAAATCTGTTTTCTATCAACCAGATCGAGCCACTTAGTGTGAGCAAAACAAGCAAGTCAAGTAAAATTACACTTTTTTATTACTATCATTTACATGTTAATGCCTTAAACTGCAGTGTTCCTGCTCCACTGGGCAGGTATCAGAGTGACACAGCTGCACCAGCAGAGATTTGCCCAGGCTGCAAAGGGATGGTCCCTTGAGGAGAGAAAGGACTCACGGCAGTGCATCCGTGGCCCTTGTTTTGCATTAGAAACAGGAGGTCACTGCATTTGTCCTGTGATTTTAAATCAGGACCCGGCGCTGAAAACTTCCCACCCCAGCCCTGCCCCATCCCTCTTTGGAACAGGCTGTACCACACCTTGGATATTGACCCAAGCCACTCTCAAATCCTTCCCAGCCCACAAAGTTTCAGCTGCGTTGGCAGAACCAGAGTTCAAGGCCATGATTTGCAGTGGGAGTTCGGCTCCAGGAGCCGACTGCCGCGGCACCGCCCTCACAACCACCCAGGCAGCAGAGCAATCCACAGGGAGACAGCAGATCCCAGAATCACAGAATATCCTGAGCTGGAAGTGACCCACAAGGATCATCGAGTCCAGCTCCTGGCCCTGCACAGGACAACCTCAAGAATCACAGACACCTTTCACCAGACCAAGTTGCCCAGAGAAGCTGTGGCTGCCCCATCCCTGGAACCGTTCGAGGCCTGGTTGGACGGGGCTTGGAGCAACCTGATCTAGTGGAAGGTGCCCTTGCCCCCAGCAGGGGAGTTGGAACAAGATGGTCTTTAAGATCCCTTCCAACCCAAACCATTCTGTGATTCTACAAATCCCACCATGTTCCTGAGAGCACTGTCCAAACCCTCCTTGAGCTCTGTCAGGGTTGGTGCTGTGCCCACTGCCCTGGGGATCTTGTTCAGTACCTGACCACCCTCTGAGGGTGGATATTTTCCTAATATCCAGCCCAAACCTGCCCTGACGTGGTTTCATGCCATTGCCTCAGGTCCTGTCACTGGTCACCGGGGATAAGACGGTGGCAGTGACCCCAGAGAGTGGGTGTAGAGGGACTGTTGCACGGCAAGGAAAAGCAGGACAAGGAACAGGAGGGTAAGGAGCAGTGCTGCAGTGGGATACCTGCTGTGCAAGAGGCTCTCCCAGTGAAGATGAGGAAGGCACATCCTCCCCCAGCTCCGCCCAGCCACCGCTGCCCTCCCAACCAACCTAGGGAAGAGCAGCTGCCAGGAAGCCACGGGAGGGCCTGTTCCACAGCCATAATGGGAATATCGCCCACACAGCCACTACGGCCACGTGGGGCTGAGCACACCACTAATTAGCTAATGAGTTTGTTCCAAATGTCTGGCCGCGGTGTGAGTGACAACAGGGACAGCACTTGAAAAGCGCCGAACAATGACAAGTGCGTCCGTCCCTCGTCGCTGACCCCAGCCCCGCATTAACAAATAGGTCACAAACGACGGTGCTTTACAGTGATCTAATCCTCCAGCCATATGGCGGCTGCCCGAAAAAACACTGGGAAAACGCTGCGCCGAGGACACCCAAAAAGCTCTGCAAAAAAATCCTAAGGAAAACTTGATAAATATATCCCTGCAGTTTGAAATTTGATTTCCTCGCCCTATTGTTTCTCATTTCCTGAGAGCTGGTTTGGTGGATCGCGTATTCTGCCTCTGTCTCCAGTGCTTGTAAGCAAACAAGACTGAATCTCATTATCCTGATGCATGGCTCTGGCTGTGTGCAATCCGATCTCTAAATCACAGTCATTTTGCTCCATTACTGATTTTCCTTCCCACTCCTAACCTACAGGTCTTCGGAGCAATCAATTCAAAAATAGAGACGAGCATCATCTAATGAAGGTGTGCTTGGTGTTCAGCACTTCAGTCTGCATTAAATAGCCAAGTAAGAACCTGCCTCCTGTCTTGGGAGGTTGGGCACCCTCCACTCACACCAACTCTGGTGGGAGCTGGAGTTTCTCAGCCTTCCTGGGAAGCCACATGCTTTCACATGGGGTAAATGGGGACTTAAGTCCTTAAGTGCCCAATTTGGGAAAATCTGCTAATTAAATAGTCTGGGCAAACACAATCGTTATTGTCCTTAGAGCCAAAGCAGTGAGACGTTTCTCAACAAGCACAGACCCTCCTCAGTATTTTCTGAGCTGTCTGCACATTGCTGACAGTGATAGAGAATATATTCAGATTATACAACTTGATGTTCACCCCGGGTTATTCCCTCCTGGATTCATGAATATTTCATTGAAATATGCAAAGTCTGAGTTACAGTCTTGTCTGCTTCAATTAGACACATGGATCCACAGGGTCTGCAGCCCTACCACATTTAGAGGCTTCATCTACAAGGCAAGGAGAACCAAAATAACAGTTGAGGTCCCATCGCATTTAGCCTGGTTCCTTCAAGCATCTTTAAATAATTGTAGTGAGCAGGGAGAAGTCAGAAAGGTGCTGAGTGAGGGAGAGTAGAGCCCAGTGAACCTGTGCCCGAGTTCAGTTGGAATCAACCCAAGCTGAATCAGTACAGAGCGGGAGGGGTTTCGTTTCATTTGTGATGCAGACAAACTTGTAGAACTGTTTCCAATGCAAATGTTCGTTTTGACAAGTTCAAAATTAATACACCTCTAATATGGGTATTCAAAACAGACCTTTTCTGAACACGTTTGCAGATTCATGAAAAGAGGAGAGGGAATG